GACAGCCTAGATTTTAATGGCTGGAGCAAGTTCCTCCCAGAGGACTGGCTTTACAATTCCAACTTTTGGAGATTCTGTTATAGGATTTTCTTATTCAGAGGAGTTTTGATGTTGCCTTCCTTTAAGGCTGAAAGAATGTGACTTTCTGATTTCACTCAGTAGGTTTCCATGTCTGAGTGAGCATTTGAACCGTGGTCTCCCAGAATCCCAGTGTAACACTTAAACCGTTATACCACACTGGCTCTCAGGGGCTGAATAAAAATCCAAAATTCTCTCAAATCCTTGTACTTCAGGATAGTTTAATATTCAAACCACTACACCAAGCTGCTGAGTTGTAAATAAACACTTATATAAATCTTATTTAAATCTCACTGATTTCCCATGTCTTTCCTGAATGTAAATATAATCTCATTGATTTAGTGGGTCAACACTAGTTGGAATTAGCAATTGGATTTTGTGTGATCTGTATCAAGAATCTGCAGGTATTGGAAGTGGTTGCTGGCATGATGACATGATCTTTTTCCATTCTGGATCTGCCAACTGCAATCACTCAGTACATTCATTGCATTTCTCTATGGGACTATGTGGCCAAGAATGATTGTAGCAACATTTCTAAATTGGCTCTGTGAAGGATGCTTTCTGAAGCTCTGGAAAGCTTGGAGTCCAGAGAAATTAGAACAGCTCCCAGTCAGGTTTGGCTTCATGCATTCTAATGGGTTTATTATGTGCTCAGAGATGTGATTTATAAATGCTGTTTAAGAATTCTTGGAGATGTTCCTAAAGATCATTTATAAACAAGCATTTTGATTTTGAGAGGGACTCTAAAATATTCTAAACCAAGCCGGAGCAAAATACCACTAGCTAGCAAATGGTGAGGAATTATTAGAATTGTGTTTGAAAAATATCTGGCCACCTGTGCCTAAAGGTCTAAGCATATATTTTTTTAAACCAATTCATTAAGATTGTTATATTCCACCCTGTATGATAAAATTTCTGGTTTTCTGGTTTTTTAAAAAATAACAACAGTAAACTCAGTTTAAACAACATAGAATCTAAAATAATAAAACATATTAACCAACTGAAAAAAAATATAACATTAAAACATTTGAAAACTAGATCTGGAAAAAAGCATTAAACCCAAAAATTTTAATGAAAAGACAGATTTTAACCCAGTGCTGGAATGAAACTAATGTTGGTGTCAATCAGGCTTCCAAGGGGTGCCAACTGGGATGCCACAGTGGAAAAGGCCCTCTTCTATGGACCTTATCACACGGGAGTCCCAAGCAGAACATATCCAAAGCTAATACATTTTCCCCCCCATGTGTTTACACATATCCAAAGGCAATCCAAAGCTAATACGTTTTTTTCCCCGTTCGTTTACACATATCCAAAGGCAATCCAAAGCTAATACGTATTTTTTCCCCGTGATCCGAAGTCAAAGGGGATCTTTTGACATTTGGTTTTTCGGGGAAGTAAAGGGGAGCTTTCGGAAGCATTGCGCAATGGCCTCCTCCTCCCCCGCCAGCCTTCCCTAGCCAGCTCCGCGACAGGGAGCGCCAGCACCCTCACCCTCCTCCTCCTCCTCAGGTGAGAGCTGGCTCTCCCGAGCGAGAGGCGCCTCCTGGGTGTCTGGCTCTCTCTCTCTCCTCCAGAGGTCGCTGATCCTCCTTCCCAGCCTTCCCTGCCAGAGAGGATCCGGGTGGGAAAGAGGCGCCTCCTGTGTCTTGGGCTGGCTGGAGGGCTGGTAAGTGCCGGAGGGCGGCGAGGTGCGGGAGGGAGCCGCCGCCGCCGCCTCCTCCGATGCTGGAGCCGCCTCTCCGCCGGTGTCTTGGGCTGGCTGGAGGGCTGGTAAGTGCCGGAGGGCGGGCGAGGTGCGGGAGGGAACCGCCGCCGCCGCCTCTGCCTCCTCCGGAAACATTGCGCAATGGCCACGCAGGCGAAACAGATTACTTTCGGAATTTATCTACTTTGGTTAGTTTTCGCTTACTTTTCGCTTCGTGGCCAGCATTTGATAAGGTCCTATGTCCTTACACAATGTATTTCTCCCACTGGTGGTATGCAGTGGAATAGCACTCCAACAGACATGAGTTTTCATAAAGAAATATTTTGCCAAGCCCATTTTAGTACTGTTTAGGAAAAACTCTTTTGGAACACAGCTACCCAAATCCCCCAGACAGCATGGCCCAAAATAAAATAAAAAAAGGCGGCAGTGGGGGAATATTTCAATTTTCTCCATTTTCCCCCACTGCAGATGCATATTTGGTAAAAACCTTGGAGTGAGCACGAAGAAACATAACCTCTTTCTAAGGAGCCCTGGTAGTGCAGCGCTTAAGTGCCGGTACTGCAGCCACTCACAGCCACAAGGTTGTGAGTTCGATCCTGCAGGGATCCAGGGTCCACTCAGCCTTCCATCCATTCATAGGTAGGCAAAATGAGTACCCAGTATGTTGGGGGCAATTGGCTTACACATTGTAAATTGCTTAGGGAGTGCTAGTTCACTGACAAGTAATACAGAAATGTATGGTACTTGCTCTTGCTCTTACTAATCCCATTTATTGTGCTATTTCTTTTCATCAACTTTCCAGTTTTACATGCCACCCTGGATTTATTATGCACAATTATGAAATGTGTGCAAGGGTCTTGGGAACCTTGTGTCTATGTGTGGGCATGCCTTCAAGTCACTGTTAATTTATGGTGACCCCATGAACTTCCTAGGGATTTTTTAGGCAAGGAATACTCAGGTGGTTTTGCCAGTTCCTTCCTCTGAAATACAGCCCATAGCACTTGGTATTAGTTGGCAGTCTCTCATCCAAATACTAACCAGAGATTACCCTGCTCAGTTCTAAGATCAGGCAGGATCTGGTGCCTTATGTATTAGATCATACTGGGAGTCATGCTCCTTCCCTAATATATTTTAATTTTCTAAGTACATTTGTGTAGCAAAAATTATTT